TTCTGCAGCGATGTCTGCGTGACATTCAACCCACCGCTGCGCTCAAGGATACACGAGACAACGTGGGCTAGTGGTTTAGCCTCTCTCCACAAGGGGGCCCGTCCGAACTTCATCTTCGAGTACAGTATAACATCTCCATTCTTGTGCTGCGATGCTGGCACGCGAGACATGGCCTCTGAAACGTGTTTCTCAGAAATCCTGGCATAGGAGAACCACGGCATTCGTAAAAACAAATGGGCACAGCACTGATGGCTAGGTCCAAAATGGCTATGTTAGACGGAAGGCGGTGCAACGGCCCAAGATAGGTGGCACCACGAGGGCCAACGTTAATGCTGGCCCGTGGTGCCACCAGGCTGCAAACTGTAGGCTGTTGGCCCTCGTGGTGCCACCAGGCTGTGTTAGAATCCAGCGCTGGATTCTAGCACAGCCTGTAAATTGTTGCTCTCTGTGCCACGGGAGGGGGAGCCGAACGCCAGCAACTTACCCATGTTTGGGACTTTTCAGTTCAACAAAATTCTAGCGGGGCTCTTTCGCTAAGGACATTTTCGCAATTCTGAAAATCGGCATTCCCCATCACGCGGACCGTGAAGGTGAGGTATCACAACATGTAGGGTTTTGCAACAATCTGGAACCTTGTGACAACCCTTCACGCAGATCGGCAGGGCCCAAATTGCGCCCTCCCGCCTCCGACCCGTGACCCTTTAGAAGAAGACGCAGTCAAGCCCATTACGAAAACACACAACCTCCAGATTATCCTCTTCCTCTTACTCTTACTCGTACTCGTCTTCTTAGTCTTACTCGTTCTCGATCTCGATCCTCGGTCCTCTTAGTCTTACTCGTTCTCGATCCTCGGTCGCCTTCCATTGCGCACGTTCTTCCTCTTCCTCTTATTCGTCCCTCCCTTCCTCCTCCTTCTCTTCCTCCTCTGCTTGCTCCTCCTCCTCCTCCTCGCCTCCTTTCTCCTCCTCCTCCTCCTTCCCCTCCTGCTCCCTACTCCTTCTCCCCCATTATCCTCATCCTGCTCCTCCTCCTCTGTATTTGTCCGCGGCCGTGGCCCGCCGATTAATCGATTGTGTCTGAGCGATTGCCTGGAGGAGGGGCGCTAGAGGGAGGAGGGGGGAGGGATGAGGAGGAAGAGGAGGAGGAGGAGGTAGGGAGGAGGGACGAAGGATGAGCGGAGGAGGAAGGAAGAGGAAGATGATGGGGGATGAGACAACGGAGGAAAAATTAGGAAGTGGCGGGAGAAGGAGGATAACGAGGAGCAGAAGGGCACTGAGGGCTGAGGAAGGGGAGGAAGATGATGATGAGGAAAAGGGGACGGAGGAGACGAGGAAGAGGAAGGAGAGGGAAAGGAGGAGGAGGAGGAGGAAGAGGAGGAGGAGGAGCGAGCCATTGCACATATATCATCATTATCAGATCCATCCCTGCGGCCTCATGGAGGCCCTGGGGGAGGAAGGCGTCTTTTTTTGAAAAATGACGCCTGCGGCCTCTTTCTTAAAGTTAGCCAGGCCGAAAAAGAAGCATGTGGGGGTCGGGGTCTATTCCAGCAAGCGGTTCGCAGTCAGGGAGGCCGGCGCCACCTCCGGCTCACGGCCGCAGCGCGCTGGCATTTGCCAGGGGCGCCCTCTCTTGCCCTTGATGTTCGCCATGGTCATGACAGCGCTGATATCGGACGCAGGGGTCGCGATTGGCCAGGGCGCGGCAGAAGTGGGGGAGCTCATCTGCGCGGGCGACGCGCTCATCCTGGCTGCGTCTGCGGACCGCGCAGCCGCGCGCATGCAGGCGATCGAGAAGGCTGGGGCGAATTACGAGCTCAAATGCAATTGGAAGAAATTTGAGGCCCTTCCGGGCAGATGCGCAGCCAACGCACTGCATCCTGACGGGAAGCCTGTCGCCCAGAAAGACAGCGTCGTGTTCCTCGGAGCCGTGCTCTCTGCGGACGGCGGCATGCGTGCCGAGTTGAGCGGGCGCATCGGCGCGGCAAGGGCGGAATTCGAGACCCTGGAGCGCATGTGGTCCCACGTTGCAATATCTGTGCCTCGTAAGCTTCGCGCGTTTGAGGCGTGCGCCCTTAGCAAGTTGCCGTGCAGCATGCACGCGGCTTGGCTGGGGAGCGCCGAGCAAGCCCGTCTTGACGGATTTCAGGCCCGGTGCGTCCGGAAGATCTTGGGCGTAGGGCATTCGCACGCCAGCCACGTCTCCAACGCAGATGTTCTCGAACAGGCACGGTGCGTAAAATTGAGCAGCATTTTGCTGCAGCGGCAGCTTGTTCTTTTGTCGAAATTGCACTCAGAAGCAACGATCACCCAGTTCGCACGGCAGTTGTTTCTCTCTTTTTTTCCGTTTTATTTTTATATGAGAAAGCCGATATCCCGAGCCCCCCCTCCCCAGAAGCGGAGGAGAGGCATACCACCTTGTGCATGGGCCACTTGCAATCAGAGCGGGTTGCAGTGGAGTGACAGACCTAGAGATCAAACCAGAATTTTGGAAGGATGTTGGTCGAGGGCGCAGCCGCTTGCAGTAGCAGACCATATGTTGCTTATGTGCGCGCACACGGCTCCTGCAGGAGGAAGGACATGCGCGACCAATACATATATATATATATACACATACATTTACATATACATATACAGTTACATACATATATATATATATGCATATACATATACATGTAATCAAACTCCGCCTGCAATGGGAAGGACATGCGCGACCTAGCGTCAGAGGGGGATAAGCTCGGGGGGACGCATCGACCCCCATTCGCACATTTCTAGGCCTCATAGATAGGGTCCGAGTAGATGTGGTCGGAGGATCGCGCCGCATCGCTGATTTATCGCCGATGCGGCTCGATGTGGAGCCCGATTTGCTTCACGTCGAAGTCGCCGATGCATCGCCAACGTCGCCGATTCATCGCTGATGCATCGCCAATGCACCGACGATGTGTCGGCGATGCGGCGCGACCCTCCGACCCCATCTACTACGACCCTGTCTAGGAGGCCTCTATAGGGGGGATATGCTTGGGGGGATGCATCAACCCCCATTCGCCCACTTTCGGCGACCACGCGGGGCGTGGTCACGCTGGGGTGTGGTTTGCGATCTGCGTCGTTTGGGCTTGGGCGGCACCACGTTGCCCTTTTCGGTCCTTTTCGGGGCGCAGCGGAGACCTCTGTCGAGGTCTTCGCTCGCGCCCCCAAGGGTGGGTTGCAAACCACACCTTTCGCAAAGAAACCACACCTTTCGGAGTCGCAGGCATTAATCTCCGAAAGGGGCCCCAGCCCACCCCGACCAGGAGCCTGCGGATTCGCTATCGGGGGTGTGTCACCGATCTGTCGGCGATGTGTCGCCGATTGCACGTCGATGTTTTCCCTCCTGAGCCAGTCCCCCTTAGCATTCCCCTCATCAATTACTTGGACCACCGCGGAGGTTGCTAAGGGGATTGGGGGGAGAACTGGGTGCTAAGGTCTGGCCTTTCCTAGCTTCATTTCATGGCTTTATGAACCCTAAGCGGTTTCAAGTGGTTATGCAAACCACTTATATGCAAGGTGAGGGAATATATGATTCACCTCAGCATGCACCTATAATCTCCCTTGTCCCTTCAGTAACCCCCGCGATGACCCAAACAGCATTCCAGACTTGCGGTAGGATCGCGCTGGGTTGATGCGGCGGCGACTCCAGCGCGGGCGTTCGAGGCTGAATGTTTGCCAGTGGCCTGGAACCGGCGGATATCGGACGTGCTGCGCAGTCGGAGCCGCGGTCGCGCAGGGTCGAACACATTTGTCGGTGTCAGAACCCAGCGCCGACTTCATCGCGACGCGAACCCGCCGCAGGGGGGGGCGTCTGGGGTAAGGGTCGGGCGTTGCCAGAGGTGGTGCTGGCCGTGAGTGGTCTCTCAGGGGAGCCTCAAGGCTGTCCCCAGAGAGAGTTGATTTATTCCCTGGCGATGACGGGGGTTACCGGGAGCGGGGGAGGGAGGCGGGGGGCAGGTAGCGTCACGTTTCCCGTCGGCGCTGTCTGGGAATGTCAAGGAATTTCTAAAGACGACTCGGAGGGAAGCACGAATCGTGACGTTACCTGGGGGTGGGGGGGAGGGCGGCTGGGGCCGGTAACGGACGCTATTCCGAAAAAATGAAACAAGTTTTTCTACAATTCCTTGCGGCTTGGGAGATTTTCGACATTTGGACGAAATCTGGACGAAATCTGCACGACATTTGAACGAAAAGGCGAAGTGGGGTGGTCGAAATCTATGTAGACAAAGTCCAGTCGAAACCACGCTCATGATAGGGCCGCGGAGGTCGGCAGTCTCCTGCGAAGGTTCACCCAACTGGACCAATGGTGGCCGCAGGCTTTTTTGAGGGAGGCCCCGAAGACCTCCGGAGCACCGTCTGGGGCCCTCGCCAGAAGGCTGGGGCCCGGCCGGGGGCTACCTCGGGCAGGGTCGCCGCCTCGATCTCCACGTCTCGCCTCCCAGAGTCGCCACCCCCACCCTGGAGGTCGTGATGATGATACGTTCCAGGAGTTCAGGGATCTCAAGGATTCCCCAGATTCCAGAGTGTTCCACACGGGCGGCAGAAACGAGGGCCGCCAGGGGCTTTGAACCTCGAGGCGGATCCAGCCGCGGGCGACCAGGAGCCCCCCACCCCCCGAGGCCAGAAGCAGGCCCAGCAGCGCCCGAAAAACCCAGATTCTCGAGCCTCGTGGATTCTCGTCGGTCCTCGAAGCCTGTCGTCGATCCTCGAAGCCTAGAGGCCTCGAGTCGCACTCAAGATGAGGGTGTCAGAGACCAGCGCCGACCTCATCGCGACGCGAAGCCGTCGCAAGGGATCCGTCTGCAGTGCGCAGGGGGTTCGGTCGCAGGGGGGGGGCCGTTTGTCGTCCGACAGTCGGCGGACGTCGCCCTCGGCAATTTCATCGTCGCACGTCGTCGTCGTCGTCGCCGTCACCGTCGCCGGCGCCGTCGTTGGCGCCGTCGAGCTCGCCGCGAGGGCTCCGAAAGCGCGCGCGCCAAGGCCTCGGCACACTCCGACCGCCGCGCCGCGGCGGCCCGCCTGCTCTCCCAGGCGGGGCGCCCGCGGCCGCCCCCCCGCCGCGCCGGCCGCCGCCTCGGCCGACCGCCGCCACCGAGGCGCGGCGGCGGCCCGTGGCCTCTCGTCGGTCGGCGTCGTCATCGTGGGCGACGACGACGACTGTCACGACGACGACGATGATGACGACGACGACGACGACGACGACGGCGACGACGACGACGGCGACGACAACGACGGCGTCGGCGACGACGGCGACGTGGACGGCGGCGACGACGGCACCGACGACGACGACGGCGACGTCGACGACAGCCGACGGCAATGACGACCACGACGACGACGGCAATGACGGCCGCGACCACGACGAGGACGACGACGACGAGGACGACGACGACGACGACGACGACGACGACGACGACGACGACGACCGACGACGTCGTCGTCGTCGTCGTGCGGAGGACGAGCCCTAAGATCTAGAGCGTTGTAACGTCTTCGCCAAGGGCAGTTTTGGCCTCCCTCGGGCCCAGGGGCCGTCTCAGGTCGATCCAGCGCGAAAAATGCAGCAGAAAGGTGGGTCGAAGGCTCTGGTTGTGATTTGTCGCGATGTTGTATTTTATCCGCGATGTCGGATCTCGGAAAGATTCCGCTGCCGCTGCTCGTCGTGGAGAGCCCTCGTCGCCACGGCTGGATTCGCCTCGGAATTCTGGTCACACACTGGAGGGGTTGAGGACGTGGCGGTGCCGCTAAAGTGGAGGCCCATGACAAGAAACACCATTCTTGCCTGGACTGCCCTGGGTTTCTTGGGTTTCGATGGCTTCAACATGGAGAGCGCGACGCTCCCGCACCGAAAATCCATGAACGTCCTGGGGTCTCAGGGTTGGGTATCCTGTGGAAGGTTTCTTGTGGACTGGCCTCCACTGTACTCCATTTAGGCCCCAGCGCGCTGCCCACTGAGGCTCCCGACGCAGCCCACAGAGGCCCCAAGCGCGCACGCAGAGCTCCCAGCGCGCTGCCCATTGCGCCCACAGAGGCTCCCGCGTGCTGCCCACTGAGGCTCCCGACGCAGCCCGCAGAGGCCCCAGCCCACAGAGTCGTCAAGTGAGCCCGCAGAGGCCCCAAGCGCGCCCGCAGAGGCCCCCGCGCGCTGCCCACTGAGGCCCCCCGACACAGCCCACAGAGGTCCCAAGGGCGCCCACATAGGCCCCAGCCCGCAGAGGCCCCAAGCGCGCCCATAGAGGCCCCCGCGCGCTGCCCACTGAGGCCCCCCGACACAGCCCACAGAGGCCCCAAGCACGCCCACAGAGGCCCCAAGCGCGCCCACAGAGGTCCCGGCGCGCTGCCCACTGAGGCCCCGACACAGCCCACAGAGGCCCCGGCCCACAGAGGCCCCAAGCGCGCCCGCAGAGTCCCCAGCGCGCTGCCCACTGAGGCTCCCCAGCGCAGCCCACAGAGGCCCCAAGCGCGCCCACAGAGGCCCCAGGAACGGCGCTCTCGCATGAGACTTTCTCGGCATGCAATCAAGTTCGCGGATGCCCAGCCCCGACGACCAGGCTCACGCTCGATATTGTTTCGCGATTTTTTCCAGGAGGCGCTGGCCAGAGAGGTTCCCGAATTCAGGAACAGCGCTCTCGCTGAAGACTTCCTGGCGACTCAGTCAAATTAGTGTGGGCGCAGCCGCGATGACAAGGGCTCCCGCTCGATGCTTCCTCGCGATTTGCTCCGAGAGGCCCTTTCTCGTGGTCCATCCTTCTGTTCCCCCATCGGCCCCCCCTTCCCCTGTTTTAGGCGCTGCGCTACATGTGCGTGGCACGAAAGGAAGATATACCCCCGAGAGGGTACGGTTGAAGACACAGAGGGCGGGTATCGAGGGTTTGGGATATACGCGTTGCGTGGCACGCGATCGAATCAGAACAAACAGTCTTAAACGTATTATTGTTGTTGTGTTTGTTGTTGTTGTTGTTGTTGTTGTTGTTGTTGTTGTTGTTGTTGTTGTTGTTGTTGTTGTTGTTGTTGTTGTTGTTGTTGTTGAACATTATTAATTCTAAAGAATAATTATTGTTGGGACCCCTGGTGCACGGCCCCCCCTGCGCCGCCTAGGCCGCAGCTACATTTTCATCATTTTCGTGAGGAAGCCTCAGAAAAGTGGATGTCCAGATCCGGTTGTTTTGTTGTAATCCGTTTTCCCTTGCAAAAAACACTATAAAATGACATTTCTTGTTCTAATATAATCAAATTTCAAGAATCCCTTGCAAAAAATAAGGTAAAGTGGACATTCGCGCGCGCAAGACGAAATCCTTCCAAAAGCTTAGTGTTCGGAGCGATTTTAACATAAAAACATCAAAAAACCAATGGTTTTTCAACAAAAAAATGTCAAAATCTCATCCCGCGCGCTCTTGCGGATTCGTAGGAAACCCAACACTTTTTAAACATTTCTGTCAAACGGGCTTTTGCGAGCAACTTTTTCGAACTTCTGCGACAACGGTTGCGCACCTGCCAGGGCCATCATCCCTGTCAAATAATACCATGCGGGACACATTCGTTTTTTCTTCGCGCGCGCACGCCGTCGCCTTCTCTCTCTCAGTGTCTGTACCATGTCTAGCACTGGTAACAAAGGTATTTGTGTATCCCCACATCCGCCCAGGAATTCCACAAATGTGACCAACTATCTTGCGAGTACGTATCATCTCATGTGTGTCGTGCACACTATCAAATGTAACAGAGTTGTGTATTCCCATCATCCCAGGAACTTGACCCAAAAATGTGACCAACTCCGCTCTCTCTGTCTCTCTCTCTGTCTGCTCTCTGTCTCTCTCTCTGTCTCTCTGTATTATGTATTGTATGGCACAATTGCACCATGCTGGGCACATGCGCGCCCCGAATAAGTGACCAAGTTCTGTGGGTGTGTACCCCACGCCAGTGTAGTAGCCACGGTCGTCCGCACGCCACGAAGTGAAGTGTCCCAACGTCATAGGGCGGGAAGCTGGGTTTGGGTGGTCGCGAAGAGTCGTTTGGATATTTGGTAGAGCTTGTAATGCCCCCCCACGAAGTGGGGGTATTGCCTGGTGTCGTATGAAAACCCTGGCACTGGGGAGAACACCACGCGTTCGGGTAAAATGATTGTTGTTGTTGTTGTTGTGGTTGTGGTTGTGGTTGTGGTTGTGGTTGTGGTTGTGGTTGTGGTTGTTGTGGTTGTGGTTGGTTGGTTGGTTGGTTGGTTGGTTGGTTGGTTGGTTGGTTGGTTGGTTGGTTGGTTGGTTGGTTGTTTGGTTGGTTGGTTGTTTGTTTGTTCGTTTGTTGTTGTTTGTTGTCGTCGTCCCACCCGCGACCCGGCCCGCGACCCACCCGCGACCCAACCGCGACCCATTCGCGACCCACCTGCGACCCACCCGCGACCCATTCGCGACCCACCCCGCGACCCACCCCCGACCCACCCGCGACCCACCCGCGACCCAGCCCGCGACCCACTTGCGACCCACCCGCGACCCACCCACATTGCATTAACGAGGCGAACGAGTCGGCGCTTTCCGCAGACTGCCGACGTCCCCGCCGCCCCCTCACTGAATAAGTATTGTTGATCCCCCTTTCGGTGACCATTGTGTTTTTCACTTGAAGTGTGTCCCCCAAGTTTCGCACCCTTTTTTTAAGCGAAGCCACTAGGGTCTAAGTGCTGTGTTGGCCTTTGGATTACAACAACGACTGCTCCCGCCTGAGACTTTCTCAAAAATATACCAGGGCCCCCGCTCCCGCCTGAGCCTTCCTCGCATTGTACTCAGGAGTCGCGCTCTCGTTGGGAACGTCTTTATAATTTACTCAGGAATCGCTCGCTCGCTGCTCTGGAGTCGCGCTCTCGCCCGGGATTTGATTGCAATTTACGGAAGAATCGCGCTTTTGCGTTGGACCCCCCCGCAATCTATTCAAGCGCCGCGCTCCCCACACTCAGACACCCGGGAGTCGCGCTCACGCGTAGGACTCCTTCAGTTCCTATTTAGGAATTGGGATCTCGCTGCCCTTCGTGGCCCCGTTGCATCCCTTCGTGGTCCCCTCCCCTCGCTGCCCTTCGTGGACATGTTGCAGCCCTTCGTGGCCCCCATCGCTGCCCGTGGCCTCGTTGGAGCCCTCCGTGGCCCCCTCGCAGCCCTTCGCGGCCCCGTTGCAGCCTTTCGTGGCCCCCTCGCGGCCCTCCGTGGCCTCGTTGCAGCCCGCTGTGGCCCCCTCGCTGCCCTTCGTGACCCTGTTGCACACCTTCGTGGCCCCTCGCTGCCCTTCGTGGTTCCGTTGCAGTCCGTCGTGGCCGCCTTCCTGCCCTCTGCGGCCCAATATACGTATGCCCTTCGTGGCCCCCGCTCGTTCGCGCCCGTCGTGGCCCCATATGCATGCCTTTCGTGGCCCCGTGGTCGCCTTTTTTGGCTTCCTCCCTGCCCTTCGTGGCCCCGTTGCTGCCCTCAGTGGCCGCGTCCTTGCTTTCTGTGGCCCCGCATTATCTGCCCTTCGTGGCCCCCGCTCGTTCGCGCCATTCGTGGCGCCATACGCATGCACTTCGTGGCCCCGGTGTCGCCCTGTGTGGCCCCTTCGCTGCTCTTCGTGGCCCCGCTGTCGCTCTCGATCTCGCTTTCGCTCGTCGTCGTCGTCGTCGCCGCCGCCGCCGCCGCCGTCGTCGTCGTCGTCGTCGTCGTCGTCGTCGTCGTCGTCGTCGTGGTCGGTCCCCTGTCCGTCACCCTTGGGCTCGGGCTGCCGCTGATCAGCGCTGTCGCTGGCCAGGCCGACGGTTCGCGGCCGCCCCGCCGCCTGCCGGGAAGCAAGATTTACCCACCAAAAGGGCACGATCGAAGACGAGGAGGGCGGGTATCGAGGGTTTGGGACATACACCTTGAATGTCAGTCGATCAGATTAGAGCGAACAGACTTAACGTGATTGTTGTTGCTGAGCCCAGCTTACTGAAGATATTGTTGATCCCCCATCCGGTGACCATTGTATTGTTCAATTGAAGTGCTTCCCCCGGGGCTCGTGCCTCGGTATTTGTTCAAGGAAAGTCACGGGGCTCAAAAGTACTTGCTGGCCCCCAGTTAACAACAACAGCGCCTTCTCGTCTTATTCTTATTCCGCAGTTTATTCCCAAATCGCGCTCTCGCGCGGGACTGCCTCACAATTTGTATACGGATCGCGCTCACGCGTGGCACTTCCTCACAGTTTATTCAAGCGATGCGCTTTCTGCACTCAAGAATCACGCTGTCGATTCAGCTTTTTCTCACGACTTCCTTGGGAATCGCACTATCGTTCGAGACTTCTTCGCGATTCATGCAGGACCCACGCTTCAGCAACCCGCCTGCTCGACCTGGTCGCCTGGTCCCGCCTTTCCGACCTGCCCGCTATGGGCCTGCCCACCCGATTTGCCCTTTTGGTTCTACCAGTTGTTTTCTGCTCCTTGCCCCGTTCCTGCGAATTTCTCTCGTGCTCCATTCTTCTGCCTCCCCGTGTATTATGGGGGTGCACTCAATGCGCGTGGCACGTAAGGAAGATATACCCCCAAGGGGGTACGATCAAAAACGACGAGGGCGGGTACCGAGTTTCTGGGAATACGTATCGATTGGCACGTGAGCAGATAGCAGCGAACAGGCTTAACATTATTGTTGTTGATGTTGCTGTTGTTGTTCTTGTTGTTGTTGTTGTTGTTGTTGTTGGTGTTGTTGTTGTTGTTGTTGTTGTTGTTGTTGTTGTTGTTGTTGTTGTTGTTGTTGATGTTGTTGTTGTTGTTGTTGTTGTGGTTGTTGTTGTTGTTGCTGCTGTTGTTGTTGTTGAACCGCTTTTGCGTTGGAATTCCCCGCAATTTACTCAAGTGCCGCGCTCCCGACACTCAGGCACCCAGGAGTCGCGCTCACGCTTAGGAATCCATCGCAGCTTATTTAGAAGCCGGATCTCGCTCCCTTTCGTGCCCCCGTTGCAGCCCTTCACGGCCCCCTCGCTCCCCCCGTGGCCCCGTTGCAGCCTTCCGTGGCCCCCTCGCTGCCCGTCGTGGCCCCGTTGCAGCCCTTCGTGGCCCCCTCGCTGCCCGTCGTGGCCCCGTTGCAGACCGTCAGTGGCCCCCTCGCTGCCCGTCGTTGCCCCGGTGTCGCCCTGTGTGGCCCCCTCGCTGCCCTTCGTGGCCCCGCTGTCGCCCTTCGTGGCCCTATCGCTGCCCTTCGTGGCCCCGTTGCAGCCCTTCGTGGCCCCCCGCTGCCTTTCGTGGCCCCGTTGCAGCACTTCGTGGCCCTATCGCTGCTCTTTGTGGCCCCACATATATGTATGCCTTCGTGGCCCCCGCTCGTTCGCATGCCCGTCGTGGCCCCATATGCATGCCCTTCGTGGCCCCGCTGTCGCCCTGTGTGACCCCTTCGCTGCCCTACGTGGCCCCGTTGCTGCCCTCAGCTGCCCCGTCATTGCCCTCTGTGGCCCCGCATTATCTGCCCTTCGTGGGCCCCGCTCGTTCGCGCTATTGGTGGCCCCGCTGTCGCTCTCGCTCTCGTTTTCGCTCGTCGTCGTCGTCGTCGTCGCGGTCGGTCCTCTGTCCGTCCCTCTTGGGGTCGGGCTGCCGCCGATCAGCGCTGCCGCTGGCCAGGCCGACTGTCCGCGGCCACCCCGCCGCTTGCCGGGGCCCAGCCTGCAGGGAAGAAAGATGTACACCCAAAAGGGGTACGATCGAAGACGAAGAGGGCGGGTATCGAGGGTTTGGGGAAGATACGTTAAATGACACTCGTGCAGAAAGAGCGAGCAGTCTTAAATTGATTGTTGTTGTTGCTGTTGTTGTTGCTGTTGTTGTTGCTGTTGTTGTTGCTGTTGTTGTTGTTGTTGAACATTATTAATTCTAAAGAATAATTATTGTTGGGACCCCTGGTGCACGGCCCCCCCGCCGCGCCTAGGCCGCAGCTACATTTTCATCATTTTTTCGCGAAAGCTTCAGAAAAGTGGATGGGGTCCAGATCCGGTTGTTTTGTTGTAATCCGTTTTCCCTTGCAAAAAACACTATAAAATGACATTTCTTGTTCTAATATAATCAAATTTCAAGAATCCCTTGCAAAAAATAAGGTAAAGTGGACATTCGCGCGCGCAAGACGAAATCCTTCCAAAAGCTTAGTGTTCGGAGCGATTTTAACATAAAAACATCAAAAAACCAATGGTTTTTCAACAAAAAAATGTCAAAATCTCATCCCGCGCGCTCTTGCGGATTCGTAGGAAAACCAACACTTTTTAAACATTTCTGTCAAACGGGCTTTTGCGAGCAACTTTTTCGAACTTCTGCGACAACGGTTGCGCACCTGCCAGGGCCATCATCCCTGTCAAATAATACCATGCGGGACCATCTGTCTCTCTCTCTGTCTCTCTGTATTATGTATTGTATGGCACAATTGCACCATGCTGGGCACATGCGCGCCCCGAATAAGTGACCAAGTTCTGTGGGTGTGTACCCCACGCCAGTGTAGTAGCCACGGTCGTCCGCACGCCACGAAGTGAAGTGTCCCAACGTCATAGGGCGGGAAGCTGGGTTTGGGTGGTCGCGAAGAGTCGTTTGGATATTTGGTAGAGCTTGTAATGCCCCCCCACGAAGTGGGGGTATTGCCTGGTGTCGTATGAAAACCCTGGCACTGGGGAGAACACCACGCGTTCGGGTAAAATGATTGTTGTTGTTGTTGTTGTTGTTGTCTTCGTTGTTGTTGTTGTTGTTGTTGTTGTTGTCTTCGTTGTTGTTGTTGTCTTCGTTGTTCGGGTGATTGCTGATGTTGCTGCTGTTTTGTTCGGTTGTGCATTGGTTGATGTTGTTGTTGTTGGTGTTGTTGTTGTTGCTGTTGTTGTTATTGGTGGTGGTGGTGTTGTTGTTCTTGTTGTCGTCTAATGGTTGTTGTTTGTGGTTCGTTGTTTTGTGGTTGGTTGTGTATTGTTTGTTGTTCGTTATTTCATCGCTTCGCTCATTCCGCCGTCCCTGGAGCGCTATTTGGGGCCTCTTGGGGCCGTCTTGGGGGCTTCTTGGGGGCTTCTTGGGGGCGTCTTGGGGCTCCTTGGCGGCGTACTGGGCTCCCTCCCCTGGGGCCTCTTGGGTGGCTCTTGGGGGCCCCTTGGGGCGGGAGGGGGGGTAGTCGATTGCAGCCCCCCCCTCGGAGGCCACGATCCTCGTGAGTGGTGGCGAAAAATAGCCTCCCCCCTGGGGATCGCCCGGGACCCGGCCGGGGATCAGCCGGGGTATTTGTCGTCCGGGGCCCCCCAGGGGCCGCCCCGCGCGCGCGAACTAGAAATATTGTTAAGTAGTTACCGGAGATCTTAGCACGCCTCTGGCCCGTTGGGCTGGCGAATTTGTTGTGTGTTTGTCCATTGTTTGTGGTTCTGTGGTTTGTTGATTATTGGTTGTTGTTTGTTGTTGGTGTCGCTGTTGTTTGTCGTTGTCGAGTATGTTGTTGTTGATGTTGTGTTTGTTGTTGCCGTTGCTTTGTAGTTAAATTTTGTGTTGTCTGTTGTTTTTGTTGTCTTCGTCCCACCCGCGACCTGGCCCGAGACCCACCCGCGACGACCCACCCGCGACGACCCACCCGCGACCCACCCCGCGACCCACCCCGAAACCCACCCTGCGAATCACGCCGCGACCCGCCTGCGACCCGCTCACGACCGGCGCCCCCGCCGCGACCCACCCCGCGCCCATCCCCCTCACTCTTATCCGCAAACTGCGGGGTGCAACATATTCCAGATGCTCAAATATGTGATCTCTCATTTTGCCCTCCACTCTCTGATATGTTCTCTTCACTCTTCATTGCTACAACATAAGTCTGACCGCGAGCGCAAGGACGTGGGTACTTGGCAGCAGCCAAATTTGAAAACTTGGCAACCTTACAACGCTTGGATCTCCGGACCGAGAAACCAGGCACCTGGCCGCCCATGGAAATCGGCCAGGAACCCTGAAACGGGAACCCGGAAATTCGGAACCAGGAGCCCGGGAACCAAGCCGCCCACCGAAATCACCGAAATCGGCGCCGTTCAAGATCCGTGAGGACCCATTCAGTGCAAACGTTGATTGGGGGATCAGATCGTCGGAGATTTTGGTATCGAGCCTCGAATTGCGAGTCTTCCAGGGAGGCCTCTTGGAATCCTCCCCGCGCGCCGGCAGATGGCCAGCAAGCTCCACAGCCCGCGGCTGTCCACGCTGGCCACGCGGGTCAAGCTTGACGCCTTCGAGCGCGCGCGGTGCTCAGATTCTCTGGGCAGTCCTCCCGCGACGGCGGTCTGTGCAGGGCTCAGACGGCCATCCAGGCCTAATTAGCAACCCCTTTTTTGGTTCGATGTTCGAGGTTTTAGGCTTTCGGATTTTCTCGTCGGTTCTGGGAGGCTTTGAAGCTTCCAGCGGCTGCGCCTCGCCGAGGGGAGTGCAGTGGAGCTGGGATCTTCCCGAACAGCCACCGGAGAGCCGACTTACGATCCGAAAGTTGGTCGACGAGGCTCACTCAGTGGCAGCATTAGGGGGGTAGGCTCAGAGGGGATGCATCGACCCCGATCGTCCATTCATCGCCGACAGGGGCCCGATAGCCCACCCTGCCCAGGAATGTACGGATGCGCTATCGGGGTCCCATTTCGATCTCTCGGCAGTTTGCCGCCGATTGCAAGTCGGTATTGCCCCACTCCCATCGTTACCCCTTCCTTTGGGCCGCTGGAAAAGGGAGGAAAGAGAGTAGGAGGAGGAGGAGGAGGGAAGGAGGGGAAGGAGGAGGAGGAGGAGGAGAAGGAGGAGGAGGAGAAGGAGAGCGACCAGCGTCGCCCTCTCCCCCTCAGGCACGTGCCTTCGAAGAGGTGTCCGCCATCATCATCCCCACCACACCCCGTGCGCACGCTGAGGGTTTCGGGACCGTGCGCGCGCTTTGGGTGAGCCGCGCAATCGGCCGTGCCGATGTCCGCGGACGAGGAACTCCGCCGCGACCAGCCCGTGCAGCGTGCAGCCTCGCGGAGCCTCCCGCCCGTGGGGGTGGCCAGCGAGCTTCCCCGCCGTTCTGTCCGCGTGTGCGTGCGTGTGTGTGTGTGTGTGTGCGCGTGTGTGCGCGTGTGTGTGTGAGAGAGAGAGAGAGAGTCCCAAGCGGTTTTTGAGGGCTTGGCCGCGTCCGCGCGCTCAGTACTCCTACGTACTCTGCCTCGTCGCTGCGCGCGAGGCCGCTAACGCCAAAACAACGTGTGTGTGTGTGCGTGTGTGAGGTCTCTGCTCTCCGCCACCGCATCGTGCTGCCCCCAAGCGGGCGGCCGCCGTCGTGCATCGTTTTTTTCTTTGTTTCCTGCACGCGAAGCCTGCTGGTTGCCCCACATTGGCACACGCTTGGTGGTAATCAGCTCAGTGCATTCCGCTAACGCCCTCTCTGGGATTGGACCAGCCAGCCGCGAAGTCAAACGTGTGTGTGGTGGTGGCCGCGCCGCTGTGACGAGGTCCGTCGTCGGCCCCGCGCCAGATCCACAGCCGTCCCGCGAGACGTCCACACGTAGGTTTTCGTCTTATGGAAGTCTGGCGCCGGACCAGTAAATAAACGAAACAACATCCCTGCTTTAGCAGCATCGCACTCATTCTAAGGTGAAAAAGGCGATCGACGACATGATCGCTGCCCTCACGGACGAGAAGGCTGCCGAGATCAAGCACAAGGACGTGCCTTCATACAGCTTGCACGAGGCCTCTAAGCAACCAGAGTTCTGGAGGGGGTCCCTTGTGTTCTTCGTATTTGGGCGCCCCACGGGGGGATGTCCCTGTGTGGCATTGGACCCTTGACCCGCGTTCTTGTGGCCGTGCGTGGATTGTACCGAGCAGTAGAGAGTCTGCTTCCCATTGGCTGCTCCATCGGCACGGACCTGCCCAGAACACGTCCCTCTCCGCACTTCTCGCCTCCCACCCTTTCTTCTCGAGGTCGCCCGTGGGGGCGCGAAGACAATCGCGCCTCGCGCGTCGCGGTCTGGACCGAAGCGGCTGCCGTTTTCCATGTGGGGTGGCGCAGGGTCCCGATGGACCGAAGATAACCGTGCGTTGCGCACGGCGGGGCGCGATGCGCGAAGTTAGGTGACCCAACTTCTCGTCTCCTTCTTTCCCTTCTCTGCCGTCCCGCGCTTCCCTGCGCTTCCCACGTTCTTGCCTGCGGATGTCATGCTTGGGTACTGTTTACAGGCTCAGCGTCCTCTGAGCGTGCTGTGGGACGCTCGGCCCCCGTGCGGCCCGGCACGCCATCCCTCCGTGCGCGAGCATCCAGGACGTTTGGATGCACTGTGATGCTGATGACGCCCGCGTAGGAGACCCTTTTTGCATCTCCTGGCGCTAACGGGCGTGTCCAGAGGAGCGGGGAGAGAGATCGTCACATGACGATTCGCGCTGGCGCCGTCTGGGAATGCTGAGGTACTGCTCATGCCGCATGCCTAGACGGTTTCGTCGTGACGTGGCCATGGGTGCGAGGGGGGTGGGGCGCGGAGCCCGTCAGGGGCGTGATCGCAAACAGTAGATTCGGCGTTGGCCCGCGCGGACCCTAAACAGTGAGCTCCTAGTATGCTGCGCGTTGCAATCCATGTGGTGCCATCGATCTGATCGATGTGAAGCCCCGAAAGTGCAAGCACTATTCGGGAACTTGGCTCTAGCCAGCATCCGCCCCGCCTGCCCTTGCCGCCTCGCCCCACCCCCTCTCAGGAGGCGAAGGAGGAACAAAAAAACAGGACGAGGAGCAGGAGGGTGGCAGCATCCGACGGATCCTTTTGCCATCAGGCCCCAGGTCCCAGGTCCCAGGAGGAGGAGGAGGCCCTGGCCCCAGCCAGGACCCGCCACGCCTGTCTTTGCCGCCTCGCCCCCCCCACCCCTCCGTCCCCCCCCCTTGGCACCGCTCGGACGTGTGCAGTTCTTCTCGGCGAGGACCATCGAGGAGCATCCTGGACCATTTTGCAAAACAGGCACGCACGAAGGCGAAACATGCATGGGGAATGGACGTCCGAGCGATGGCGAGCCTCTGCGCCCCGCCGACCTCTCTCCGAGGCCAGCCTACTCCGCGCGCACGGCCCGCCGGCTCCTCTACATCCCCAGAGGGTGGCGCTTCCGCGGCTGGCCCGTGCCGGAAGCCCGCGGCGAGCCCAGCTCGACCCAAGTTCGACCCGCGTTCGGCCCAAGCCCGGCTCAAGTCGACGGACGTTCGACGCAGCGTTGACGCGCGAGTGGGGCAAGTCGGGCTGGGCTGGGACGAGGATGAATCCGTTCCAGAGCGTTTCGGGACGCTCTCAGAGCCTCCGGGAACGCTCTGAGAAGGCCGCGGCGCCCGAGGCGTCCTCCCGAAGCGCTGGATTTCAGAGAAGCTCGGTTTATCCTCACCCGATGTTGTCCTCGTCCTGGCTTCATCTTAGTCCGTGCTCGGCTCAAGTCGGCGGACGCTCGACGCGGCGTTGAAGCACAAGCTGGGCAAGTGGCTCCAGGGAGGTCCCCAGAGCGAGAATCGGCGGCGCGATCTTGTGGGGAGCGAGCGGGGGTAGGGCCTTCTCCGGAGGTGGCGGGGCTTCTCCGTCGCCCTCGCGCCTTCTGGAGAAGTGTTCTGCGCGTTCTCCGGAGCCAGAGGACGGCTTCTCCCCCCTCCCCCTCATCGACGGGCCACTTCTCCACCACCACTACCATGGGTTAAGGCGGGGCAGAAGGGAGGATGGGGAGGTCCTCCTCCTCCTCATCCTCCTCCTCCTCCTCCTCCTCCTCCCTCCCTCCCCTGCCGATGGTAGTGGTGGTGGAAAATCGGCTCATCACTCATTCTTCTGGACCTTCGGCCCTCACCTCCCGCCCCTTCTTCGACACGATCTATGCTGGCTTCCTCGAATGGCGTACGGTTTTCCCCGAGTTTCGATGAATTCGTCCGCACCTGCCCGCGGAGGTCGGAAGGGATGGAAGGAGGGAGGCGGAGGGCAGACGGCGCGAGAGCGCCTGCGAAGCCCCGCCGCACTCCGAGGAGGCCTGCCCCCCCTCTCGTCCCCGCTGGGCTCGCCGCTGAAGAGGAGGGAGAGAGGCCAGAACCGCTGGAGTCAGGGGCAGCGTAGGGGTAAGTCGGGCACGTCCCCCTGCAGAGGGAAAAGTCAAGAATAGTAAGAATATAGTCTTGGGACGATGTTTTGGTTGTTCTTCTACTATGATTGAATAGTTGTTTGACAATCTCAATTGTCCTTCAGCATCCGCCTTGAGAAGCACATGCCCGACCCAGGCGTAGGGGGGGGGGGAAATATGCTAAGGGTGGGGGGGACGAAGTTTCGAGATTCGAGGTTTGCGGCTGTTTTCGTCGGTTCTCGGCGGTTTTCCGGGCAACGTCAGAGGGCGAGAGGTTCGGGGAGGATGGCATCGACCCAGAGTCGCTCACGGATCGCCAGTAGGTGCTCGATTCGTCCACCTTTCCCAGGACCGTGCCAAGCGGTGTGTCCGCACACGTCACAGAATGTGCCTCGCCAGCGCCTCGCCGCGGCAGTTGCAGCGCGAGCTCTCGCTCGGCGGCGCGCCGAGGGGGTGCGCGATGACCAGAACGTTGCGATTGCGAAGGCCTTGCAGTGGAGGCCCATGCCAAGAAACACCCTGCTTGCCTCGAGGGTGCCTTGGCGTTCCCACACCAAAAACCGATGGACGTCCTGGGGTATCAGGGTTGGGTTTCTCGTCGAAGGTTCCTTGTGGACTGGCCTCCACTGTACGGCCAGCGCCGAGGACCCTGAAAGTGGAACGACGACGACAACGATGATGGCGACGCCGCTGACGCTCTGGAGCGAAACCTTCTCCCAGGGAGGGGTGCTTCTCGCTCAGGGGGGTGTCTCCGACGGTGTTCTTTTTCAATCCGGGTGCTTTTCTTGGATTTTGGACCTCGCTGGCGCCGTTATCGGACCCTGGGTCCATCAAACGTGGATTTGAGAGGAAACTACCCCCGGGGAAGCGGTCGGCACCTCTGGCGCCGTGGAACGAGGCCATGGCGACGAGCAAAACATTGGGTGAGGATACAGTCGAGGTGCTACCAGAAAGGGGCATTTCCGGCCACAGTGGGCCCACAAACACATCCCGCGACATGAATTAAAGGAGCGACCTGTGACCCCGAGCCCCTTCAGAGCCCCACGCGGTCCTTATTTCAGCGTCTTGGCTGTAAGTCGAGAATCTCTGAGATCCAGCGGCTCTGGAGGATACATCGGGCGCTGCGGCCGTGTCACAGCGTTCCCGAACTCTCTGAGAGCGTTCCGGAACGCTCTGGAACGGATACATCCTCGTCCCAGCCCCGACCGACCCTGGCATCCACCCGGGCCAAACCACTCCTTCCGCCCCGGGTAACGCCAACGATCGAGTTGGGATGGGTGGCCTGGACCCCCCCCCCAGCACACAGGCGATCGATGCGCCGGTGGCGCGGGTGCACCCTGGCGGATGCACGCGGCGGCCGCCGTTACAGTTACCCTCCCGCCAGAACGCCCCCCCCCCCTCCCCGGGTAACGACCGTTACACGAGAAATCATACATAACGTTGATTTGGGGGAGCAGGCATAGTGGGGGGGATGCATCGACCCTCCATCGCCCATTCGCCGATAGGGGCTCGGATTCACGATCGGAGGCCGATTCCAAGTCGATGTGTCCCCTCCTATTCCAGTCCCCCCCGATCGTTGCCCCTCATGGACACAAGGACGGGTCAGGGGACCGACCTTGAGCGGACTTCGGCAGGGCGGGGGGTCCAGCGCCGACCCTACTTGGAGATCCCCGCGGACCTCCGAGAGTTGCCGTTGGTAAGGTTCCCTCTTCCCCCCAGCGGTGCCGCTCTCGGTGGGTTCGCTGCATGCCTCACTCCGCTTGGGCGGTGCGCGGACACTCGCTTGTAGGCTATCTTCGTTGGGTTGCGCTTAGATGCCCTCGTGCCCAATGCAGCGTGCCGCGCTGGCGGCCCGCGTCAGCCATCGCGTGAGGCCGCCACATCATCGAAGACCCGTTTCTGCCGCTCTCTTGGTGCCCCTGCTGACGATCTAGCGTGTGCCGTCGTTCGCCTCTGGGCGTGAGGATTTCTGCGTGTCCGAGCTGAACGAGAACCAGCTGCAGACCCAGAAGAAGGAGGCCGAGAAGGAGGAGCTGCACGCAGCGCCCGCCCGCGGCCCCGGATAACACGTTCTGTGCTGCTACCGGCAAGTGATAGGGACTGGCGCATCTATATAGCTCCTGGCAGCAGGCTTGTGGTTACGGCTGGACGCGGGATCCCCCAGGGCCCAGTCGACGCGAGTTAGCACCCCCAGGCTGTATTCTTTCAGCCTCCTGGTGCTTTGCGGCACATCGAGATACAAGGATTGGCGTATATGAAGCGAGCATATGCGTAATCATAAGTAGACGTCGGTATTCGCGCCCTGTTGGTTTCTACAGGCGCATCACACTTTTTGTTTGGCGCCCTTGAGGCCCCAAGGCCCCCAGGACTGCCCCATGATGCCCCAATATTGTACCAAATGTTTGAGACGACTAGAAGATGGCCCCTACGACGGTCCTGATATTGACCTAGGAGGACTCCAAAGTTGTTTTCTGGCACAAGGACGATCTCGAACGTAGTTGTCTTTCGCTGCATGCCGCTTGCTTTGTTTCCGAAAAGCCTCAGGGGCACCAGCATTGCGCTCAGAATCACCAGAGGTCATACGATGCCTCCGATACCGCTCAACATTGCGCAAGAACACCGCAGGATACCCGCGCGATATTGGTAACAATGTCACAAGGTGTCTCCAGAAAGTGCAAGGGTGTCCGCAATACTGTCACAAGGTGCCCCAACGAGGCTCCCAAGTGCCTTCAAATCAATTCGACATGGTTTCAATACTGCCGACGAGCTTCAAATGCGACTAGCACCAATACAAGAATCCATCAGACTTCAGGCTGGCGGCAAGGCACATTCAGGAGATGTTAGTGCCAGGCGCGAGAGGTGTTGTGCAGTGCTATATATGTATGTGTGTGTGTGTGGTCTTGTGCGTGCGTGCCTGCGCGAGCGTGTGTATGTGTTGTTTGTCTGTGTGAGGGAGAGAGGGGGAGAGAGTGTGTGTGTGTGTGTGTTTGTGTTTTTGTTTGTGTGTTTGCGTGTGTGTGTGCACGTGCGTAAGAGCGTACATGTGTGCGCGTGTGTACGTGCTGTGTGTGTGAATGTGTGTGTGTGCGTGTGTGCACGCGTGTAGTGTAGTTGTGTTTGTATGTGTGGCTGCTTTATTGTTTGTTTGTCTGTGTGTCTGTGTGCGCGTGCGTGCGTCGGTTGGTGGGTCGGGCGATCTGGTGGGTGGATGGGTTGGTGGGTGAGTTGTGTTTAAGCGCCCTGAGTCAGCGGGCGATATCATGAGAAAAGCGCATGCGAGTGCGGCCAACGGATCCCAGAGAGCCCTCCAGATGTTTTGTTCTCTATGCCATAACGGTTATGTGCCATTATTTGATTCTAGAGGTTCGAGACCAACTCTAGACGGGTCCGTAGGACCAGGAGGGCCATGTTTTCCAAATAGAGCCTTCTCGTGGTTGCAATCTCTTGTCCCCCCATCGACTGCCAGCAGGACCTCTCAGCGAAGATCGCTACAACGGAGACAACGATCAGAGACCTGGCAGCCGCCATCGACACGCTCAAGGACTGTGTGAGGGTGACAAAAATGGGAGGGGCAAGACGGGCATGCCTCATCGTGCTACCACCAGTCTGGTGCGCCTGACACGTCCACAAGTAACTACCACGTGCGGCCGCGCCCCGCTGTCAGGACAGGACCAGCGCAAAGCAATTCGATGATCCTGCTGAGACCTTCCACCCTGGAAAGGCTCACAGTCAGGACGATGAATCTTAGGACCGCTTCAGGAGGCGCTCTGGTCCTCGGAGGTCCTTAGAGTTACGGCGGGGAGCCTCTTCGTGACCGAGGCTCGCCGTGGCCAGGAGAGCCCCCTCGCTCCTTCTTTTCCGTTCCTTATGGTAGCACGATGGCTGCTGTCCAGCGCAGCCTTCGCGGGCCCCGAGCATTTCCCGTGGCGGTCTCGACACCGCAGCGGCGCCCCTGCTGTAAACCAGGCGGTCCACCTTCTGGCTGAGGCTGCTCACCTGCAGGCCTCCGGAGGCTGTCCGCCTCGGCGTCTTCACAGGCCCACAGTGGCAGGCCAGGGCGGTCTCATCCCCCGCGGGGGTGCAAGCCTTGCCCAATCTCAGGGGAGGAATAGGCACCGATGCCGCTTCTCGTCCTGGAGATTCCTCCCCGCCGCGGCTGGATCTCCTCGCATTCCCTCCCGGTCAGAACGCGCCCGGCGAGAGGCACCTTTCTGTCCCCCGCCGCACAGTGTGCCCCCTCTTACCAGGCGGCCGATAGGGGCCGGGCGCTGATACGGCCAGGTTACCCGTCTTGGAGGCCATCTGGGGCGTGTTGGAGGCTTCTTGGACCGTCTTGGGGCCCTCATGGGGCCGTCTTGGGGCCTCTTAGGCCGTCATGGGGCCATCTTGGAGGCCTCTTGGGCGATCTTTGGGCGATCTTGCGGGCCTCTCGGGCCCATCTTGGGCCATCGTGGCCGTCTTGGAGGTCATGTTGGCCGTCTGGGAGGCATCTTGGAGGCCATCTTGGGCGTCTTGGAGGCCTCTTAGGCCGTCTTGGGGCTGGCTTGAGATCTCTTGGCACCGTTCTGGTGTCGTCTTGGAGGCTTCTGGGACGATTTTGGTATCTCCTTGAGGCGTCTTGGGCGGTCGGAACACGAAAACGGAGGAAAGGCCAAACTCCTTCACCTAAGGAACACCAATGATTTTGGTTTCTTCGGGCCAGGACACCTCTTGGAGGCCTCGTGGGCCCTCTTGGAAGCCTCTCGAAGGCCTCTGGGGCCGTCTTGGGCCATCTTGGACGAGGAGGAGGAGGAGGAGGACGAGGAGGAGGAGGAGGAGGAGGAGGGGGCATCCTGGGAGCCCCTGGCGACACTCTTTGAGCCCTCCTGGGAGCTTCCTGGGAGCCTCTTGGAGGCATCTTGGGGGCCTCCTTGGGCCTCTTGGGAGCCTTTGGGGCCTTCACGGGGGCCTCTTCGGCCGTCTTGGTGGGTTCCTGGCCCATCTGACGCCGTTGGAAGCCGTCTTGGGGGGCTCTCTGGGCCGACTTGGGGCCCTCTTGGGGTGCTCCGGGGCCGTCTTAGAGGCTTCCTGTGGCGTCTGAGAGTTCGCTTGGGCCGTCTTTGGGCATTTTGGAGGCCTCGTGGGATTCTTGGGCGTTATGGAGGCCATCTCGGGCGTTTTGAAGGCCTCGTGGACAGTCTTGGGGCCCTCTTGGGGAGGTCTTGGGGGCCTCTTGGGCCTTTCTGGGGCCATCCTGGAGGCTTCTTGGGCGACCTTGGAGCGATCTTTGGGGCTCTTGGGCAGTCTCGGGCCGTCGGTAGGCCGAAAATAAGCAAATGCTAACTTCCTTCAAAATCTTATGGAACCGCATTGATTTTGGCCTCTTCGGGTCTCTCTGGGCCGTTTTGGGCCATCTCAGGGTCATCTTCTGCCGTCTTGGTGGGCTCCTGGCCCGTCTGACGCCGTCGGAAGCCGTTTGGGGGGCCTCTCTGGGCAGACTTGGGGCCCTCTTGGAATGCTCCAGGGCCGTCTTGGAGGCTGTCGTGGGCGTGTAAGAGGCCTCTTGTGGAGTCTTTGGGTCCTCTTGGGGCCGTCATGGGGGCCTCTTGGGCCGTTCTGGTGCCATCTTGGGGGCCTCTTGGGCGATCTTGGGGCGATTGTTGGGGGCTCTTGGGCCGTCTCGGGCCGTCGGAAGACTGGAAAGTAGCAAATGCCCAAATCCTTCAAATACCAATGGAAATCAATGAATCCCTGCCTAGATGCTTTGCCCCAGCATCAGGGGGAGATCTCTGTCCAGCCCTCCTGGCAGGGAAGCCTCCCAGCTTCGCGGCAAGGGAACCCCCTTACTCCGTGCTGGCGATGTGCCTCGGGAGCCGGGGACCGAACGAGCGCGTGGCCCAGCCGCAATTGGGCGGGAGGGCGGATGAATGAAGAACGAGCACAGTGTGGCGCGGGCACCGCCCGCAGTTGGGCGGGAGGGAGGAAAAATGATCAGTAATACCTGTTTGTGCGGGCCGAGCACATCAGCAGCGCGGGGACGTGACACCCCGAGCCCGACTCGACCCCCGAGCATCAGTTGGGATGCACGGGAGTGGGCCGCTTGCGCAAAGAACGGGCTCGGTGCCCAATAAGGAACACGACGCGGACATCAGTTGGGATGCCGGCCGCGCGAATCACAAGACATATCGGCATCAGTACGCAGACCCGCGCATCAGTTGGGATGCGGAGCCTGCGACAATTTACTCTCTTTCTTCTCTCTCTCTCTCTCTCACGCTCTCTCTCTCACTCTCTCGCTCCCTCTCTCTCCCTCACACACCCCTGCACACCCACTCACTGACTACCCAGCGCTAGCCTCCTGCTGCACAGATCATGCTTCTCCAGTGCTACTTCCAATCCGGAGCGGGATCAATCACAGGAGGTTGCGCACCGCACTGCCCGCATACGCGGACCCCCAGGCCATGACACGTGCGCTTCTGTAGCACCAGCTGGCGCAATCAGGCGTCATATCGACACTTATCCGAAAGGCTTCGCCCTCCTCCTAAGTAGGTCAATCCCTGCCTAGATGCTTTGCCCCAGCATCAGGGGGAGATCTCTGTCCAGCCCTCCTGGCAGGGAAGCCCCCCAGCTTCGCGGCAAGGGAACCCCTTCGAGCCCAAACTCCCCCTGAGGCTGCCGGTCCAGGTGGGCGGCGGGCGGGTCGCGCAGCGAGGGCCAGAATGGCCGCTTAGCGTGTGTGCGTGCGAAAATGGAAGGGTGGGAACGCGAGACGAAAGGAAGGAACCAGGCGGGGACCTCTTTGCTACCGTACCAAGAAACGCTCCTGGTTCGTTGGCAGACGCTGCCGAGGAGCCCTCATAGGGGAATCTCGGCTTTCTGTTTGCCACGCAGCCGGCGGAACTTCTTTGGCCCCTCCAGTGGCGACGAGGGCCGAACTGCGCTTGGCGATTTGCCAGGACCAGTCGGCGGGGCGGCCTGCGTGGCCACGATGGCATGCGACGCGGCCGGCGGAGCGCCCGCCACGGCCCTCGCCGCGGCCAGGAACTGTTGCCGCGCCAGCTCCGGCGACGCAGCGGCATACACGTCGTGCATCAGAGATGAGGAATGCCAGCCGCCTTGGTCCTGCACCGCTCTGGGCGGCGCTTTGGCCACGTGCAAGCTCCATTGTGCGCCGCCTTTGCGGAATGAGTGCGTGCTCGTTGCTTTGTCCTTGAAAAACAGAGAAACTGTTTTTCTCCATAAATCGGGACTCACTGCCTTATGCGATGCGCCAGTTGTCGTGCAGAAGAAAACCGGCGGCTCCGGAGGCATCTCTCTCCTGAGAGTCGACCGCGTTTCCATGGGGCGGGCGGGGTTGATTCCAGCGAAATCACAATTTGGGATCACGCACGTTTGCCCTCTGCCTCCCGGGTCGTTTTTCTGACGCCGGATGAAGCACCGGGCGCATTCGGACTCAAATTTCACGTCTGCGGCCAGGAGAGCAGAAGCTTCTGATACTCTCCGAATGCCGAAGAAACAGAAGACTGCAAACGCGCAGACCCGGGCCCCCGCGGCAGACCCTGTGGCGAGGCGGGCTCGGATGAAAGACAGAAGCTCGTCAATAGAAATTGTTTTCTTTTGGTGGCTGTCGTGTCTCGCTCTCTTTTTGAGCCCCCTCCAGAAATGGTACGCACGCTGGTCCCAGCAGGAGTCGGACACGCAGTCGAGGCCCCGACGCATATGCCAGGCACGAATTGCAGCCTTGTTAAGCTGAGTGCTAGACCAAGACATTCCGCCCATTCCAGTGAACAGCAACATTAATTTATCAACCGATTCTACTGGAAGGAAGATGGCGTCGACAATGCGTTCCAGACCGTGCACGTGAAGCCTGATGGCGTTCGCGTAGGTCTGCTTGGTCGAAGGTTCCCAACCGGCCTCAAGAATGACCTGGGCCTTGACATAGAGATCCTCGCGAGAAGACGATGCAGCGGACGACAATGTCGGCGTTTGAACGAACACGTCCTGGGCGGGTTGAAAGCGCAATTGATCCATGGCGGAATCTCGGGACCGCGCGCCGGTCGCCGCAGCGGCGCCTGTCGTCGAAGATACCGGCGCCCTGGTGCATTCAGGTGGCCGCAGGGCTGGCGAAAGCCCACTCGGGGCCACTGCGGGCTGTTCGACCAAACGCAACCCTCATGGCGGTTGCGACCCAGGGACTGCAGGTATGAGATGCATATTGCGTTGGGTCCCTGGCGGTTCCGGAGCCCAAAAGGCTACGGAACGGACTGGTGCCAGACCGTGCGCGTGCAACCGCGCAGACAACGACGCACGCGTGCGAGACGCGATTTAAACTCACGAATGCGGTATCGACCAGACCCGTTTTCTGATGACCGGCCGCGTTTTTGAGACGCCCCGGGGGCTCCTGGAGCGACCGGACCCCCCTCCAGATCCACAGGGGGCCGTCGGGGCCAACTGGGCCATGACGCTGCCCGGAACCCAGGGGAGAGGGCGGCTCGGTTGCCGTTCGCTTGTGGTCGGACATACTATCGCTTTACCCACGTCGTCGGGGGTTCAGACACAAAATCA